AGTGATCGCTTCCACATCCTGACCGTCAAGTTGTGGGATTGATGCTGGTGATGAATCAAGAGGGAAGCGAGTAACGTGTCCACAAATGTAGTTCTGAACTCCATTTTTGTTAGTATTTTTTTGAATTTGTAGTATGACAACATAGATTAACACTCACAACGAGATTGGTCGCTAGTGTTATGTCGAAGAGAGAAGTATTCAAACGAATAAGACGATAAAGTTGAGCCACTGAACCCGAGTTGCGATTCTCACCGTCCGATTCACGGAACAAATCGAACACTGGTTCTCCAACTATTTGCACACAGTTGGCGTCAATTGGAGAGATCTATACGGAATTATTTCGATAATTTGCGAAATGGACCAAATTAGCCTTCATACCTGCATAAGAGCTTCTTCAGCGGCTTTAACCACAGACGGTATTGGGCAGAGAATTGTTTCAATAGTTACGCAGGCAATCTTTTCTAAGCGTTACACTTAATTCTCTTGCAGGTGTTGTAGATGTAGAAGTGTCCATCTTTTGGAGATCGTCATTTTCAGCTTGCAGTATGAGAGCTTTGTATAATGTTACCAGAGCTTCTGCAATGAAAAATACTCACGATTTTCCACTCACGCAAAAAAAAATTGATGGATTAATACTTTGCTAAAAATACGACTTGTGAGTTATTTTCGAAAAATTATAGAGGTGAAGTGAATGTTATCAAAACCTCCAATCAGAAAGAGCTTCACTAAGTCTGAACAAATGGTAAACAAAAATACTTACTGGTAGACAAGATTTTGTAGTACTCAGCTTTCTCGCTGACAGTATACGGTGGAAGGAAATGAGCAGGGCAACCGTCCATTGATTTGAAAAGTTCACTAAAAACCACTGATACAGTACCAATCCAAATTGAGCAATTCGAATAGGGCGTAAGGCCTACTTACAGCTCAAGCATTTCGTTGATATGCATCTGGCACACAGCAATGAGCTCACTCGCAAACTTCTGAGTTCTGTCCGACTCAATCGAGATGTCAACGAGGGGAGGCTGGCAGGTGAAAATCGTACACAACGCTTCCAAACATCCACAACGGTCAAGCAGTGCCAGTACATTGAATTCGTTCATTGCACGCTCTAAATCATTAATATGTACTGTTTTGCAGAGCCTCCGCGCCTGACAGCGCAATGACGGCACTATTTACCTCTACTGTTCACATGTCAAAAACTGGCCGGAGTTCAATAAAATTTGTCCACGTCTAAGGACTTGGCTACAATGTTGGCTTTTAACTCGTAGAACACGAATCTGACATCAGTTTAGCGCGAAAATGGCTGCGCCTGCGCCACAAAACCAGCGTTTCTGGCGCCATTTGGAGCCGGTACGTATGACGTAGGCGCCAAGTGTATGCACAATACACGATTGTGTTCTACGGGTTGAATTGCTCGGCGACAACTTTCTAGCCAAATCCACAGTCATGGACAAATCTCGATCAAAATATGTACGGCTCTGTTTTTGAAGAGTGGGGCAGTGTAGGATAATTAGTGCCACTTTTATACACAATCGTCATGCTTAGGCGTACTAACGATCAATTGAAAATGGTGACCACCATTATTCAAGACATCGGTTCTGTATTTTTTCGACTATGAAGTGAAACTATGCACGCAAACATCGTATAATCTATCGAAATAAACCAGCATCCGCGAACCCTCTTCATCTACTGCTACATACACAAACTTTCCGGATTGACGTAGTAACGTTACTGGCGCAGAATAGCCAGACATTTTCAGACTTCCTCTTACACACAGCTGTGAAAATAAGGTTACCAACTTTCTTGAAGTGTACCACCCTCGTATACACAGTACTACAAGCGTTTTGTAGATGGATACACTACTTAGCAATGTACTGGCTCGTTGCCTTCTCATCACCAAATGCGTGGAAGCATCTTTGACTCTTAACCAGGCGAAACTTCCACCAGCACCCTGATAAGGGTGCAGACTTCCAATATTTATCGTTGAATAGCTAACTATGTTATAAAATGCTGTCCTCTATGAGACTACTTCTTAACGCCGTAGTCCTAAAGTTTCGAATAGAATTTTATGTAACTTC